TTAAACGAAATAGGGTGAATATATCTAATATTACTGATTTGCTGGTAGTCTCGAAACTCTACTTACATACTAAAAATAAGCTAAGGATATCTAACCAAATCATAAAGTTTCTCATTATGTGGTCAAAAGTAGGCTTTACTGTCTTCGTTCTTGGTCAATTATCGTAAAAACGAGTTGTATTCAAACTTTTTCGTGTAAGGTGATAAGGGGACTAGTAGTTGCATCTTCGCACGGTTATCCTACATTTCCATTGAATTCCACATAGCTTCGCTTTCCCATTGTTTAAAAATTCATCTCTTAAACGAAATATGCTGAATATATCTCATAAATATGAGCTACTGGCAGTTTCGAAAACCTGCTTATAAAACAAAGAATTATCGTAAAACATGGAGTCCTGCTCAGACGATGTCTGCCACATAACAGACGTAAGCTCGGCAAGGATTTATGGGGGTCGCGGGAAGATGCACAGATGACTTGCTTGCATAAATCTACAGTCATTACGACAAGACAATACTCTTTCAGCTTCCGGTTGAGTGAATCTATGAATCATTTCTACTTATCCCTTCAAAATCAATGAAAGATGTACCAATATTAATTTATTCAAAGATTCTTTTAAACCAAACTTTTTATTGTATCTACTCATAAGGTAGTCGGATTATTTGAAACAGATTTGTGTGAATATATTTCAATATTTACCTCTAATACGCCGAGAGAGTCTTAGCGTATAAGGTTTGAATTATAAATTCTACTATCAAAGAAATTATTATTAATCACCGATTTATTCTTCGAGGAGATACCAACTTTTCGGCTTCTACTCCACCCCAAACTAGTCGTCCAATATGCTTTTCTTCATACCTTCAAAAATAAGTAATTTTTTTTGTTTATAATTAGGCTTCTAGACTATCAGTTTAGCATATACATGAGATGTATTCACCTTATTTTGCTTAACTTCGTTGAATTTTTTTATAATGATGTGAGTACACCACAAGTTTCCATTAAATTTTCCGTGGTTGCTTCTCTGGATTGAGTGATCTGAGGTCTCGACCTCGCCCAGCAGTACTCGAGCTTAGCTAGCGCAGCACATAGTCTCGGGTTCGAGTCTCGCCAGGGCGCTGAGGTTGAAGTTTCAGTTTCAGTTTCAGTTTAGTCCATTCTGGATAAGAATACTTATTGAAGGCAAGGCCGTGTGATGCAATCCTACATGATTGTGTGAAAATGCATCCACCTGTTCTAACTCACTTTAAACAAAATGGGGTGAACACATTTCATGGCAGTATTGTTGGCATGCTTACTTTTTATGCAAGGCGTCTCTCGAGACCGTGTCTGCTGGTAGCCGTCCATGCAGCGGTTGCACGTCTGCCCGGTGACTCCCGGTTTGCATGGACACTGGCCCGTTTTGTCGTCGCAGGGCTTGTTGGGCACTGCGCCGATCGGGTGACAGCGACACTCTGGCGCACGGCCAAAAACGCATACAAGGGAGTGTGAACCGAGCCGGGTGGGGTCGGATCGGATCCGGTCGGTTCGGGTCATTTCCAGTCAGTTCATGTCGGGTCGGGTCGGAGTAGGGTGGATGGATTTGACCCGAAGAATGGACAACAGAGGGAAGATGTATGCGAGAGTAGAGATGGGTAGAGGGGAGAGGCAATGAGTGTTCAGTATAGGTGTCGGCGGGATTTACTCTAGGAGCCTTTACCCGGTTGCCAGCCTCACTTTTGGGCTGCCTAACAGCGCCCCATCGCTTTGTCAGAAGAGACAATCATACGACCGCTGCTCCGAGCCCGCACTTAAAGCCTCCTCGATTCTGTACCGCCGTGGCACGCAACTACAAAATGCCCACTCCCTGTCACACTCTACAAAATGGCAGTGTCTATGAAGAATCTTCAGTCGCCTCACGTCAATGTACAAACTGCACGGCCTGGATCTACCACATACACAATCCCACACCCTCTCTCCTGTCCACTTCGTGCCCGATGCCAATGGCCGAGTTGTGATCGCGGTGGTGGGGTTAAGCCTGCACTGACGTAGGCTCCAGACAGAACTTTACCTAATTTCCTTCTGCGCAAGGGTTGTTGGCAAAGACCTCACCAGAAAATCCGCTTCTGGCAGGCCATGGGGTCAATGTGCTGCTCGTTTTATGCCAAAATCGCCTCTATCCCCGACACGAGAACAGACTTGGCGCTCTGAAAGTGAACGGGTGCCAGAAATCATGCACATACATGAAGCGTGATACGTGTGCGTGTAGAACAAACAGGGCTTGATGTGAACTCACCTTGTATCCTGTAAAGAAAGACATGTTATAAAAGCGGCCATGTAAGCAATCTAGGAAGACAATAACACTTAAAATAATACCATCAAAGAAGGCCTGAGTGCCAGACAATAGGGAATGCCAAGTTAGAAAGGAGCTACCGGCAGAGTCTAATTTACCCTTATGAACTTTCGTCCGAAGTTTTCGTTGCTGCTGGCTTCAAGTTATTAGAACAAGAGGCAAATGAAAAAATACATGTTTCCAACATGTCTTCGGATACACTTTTCAGTCTTTTGTTGGGAGAGAAAGAATTAAGTGGTCTGACTCACATCTGATGAAAGGGGCTTCAATATTCCTTTATAAACACGCTAGAAGATATAGAAGCTAAAATTCAGATGGATATTACATATATATCATATTTAATATATTATAGAATATGGTTTTCAATTATTGCCAGCATAATTGTCTAGAAGTGTACCAAGAACAGGATCCGAGGCTGGAAATTATCATGCCTTCTATGGCAGAAGGCGCCGGACAAGTGATCGTCTCGGAGGTCGCAAAGACAACTTGATCAAGTGGCGAGAACGAGACGAGACCAATTATGCGGAGATAAAGACGAATGCGAAAAAATAGAGGCCACACGCACTTGTACTTGTAAAGTGTATAATATTTTTATTTTTTGCATATTATTTCGAATCCTCGAAATGGCAGAAGAAATTTTCGAGTCTTTCAGTTGTGTAGGTAGGCACGGGTCGCTGACAGCCTATCCAGATCGCATGTACGTGCATTGACATATATCCATGGCCGGTTGTCGAGGGAGAAAGTGCAACCTGAGAGAGATCATGAAGCTTATGGTCAAAAGCTGGAGTTTGATTCATCCCTTAATGAGTTAAGGCGACTAAATTTGTCAGTTCAAAAGAAAAATTGGTTGGAAGGAATTAGTGAATTCTAGCAAGTAGACAAACTGCATTTTTAGGTCGTCGTTGGACATGCTATTGAATCCCCATCAGTAGCGAAGTATGCATTGAGAAGTCTGACTTACATCTGATGAAAGGACGGTGATGCAATATTATTTTTATGCTTTACTTTATCGACAACTCTAAAGGATTCCTAGTTGCAAAGTATGACTTTTCACAAATGAAGACCAACAGTAGTGGCCTCTATTTGGCTGCAGTCTCCTTTCGATGTATAGAAGTGATCTGACCTGTTTTTGCAATTTGGTCTAGTTGTCAAGAGACCTAGTTGGATGCACTTTGTCCGATGTCCTGCACCACAGAAGTTATCAGAATTCCCAGTGTCCGACTGTGGATTTGGTACATTCCCAGCTGTCAGTGCGTCTCGCCATTCTCGGCACCAAGTTGCAACTCAGCAAAGGTACAAAGGAGCCAATCAATTGATCAACTTTATACCGAACGGTTTTGCTAGTACTGCTCTTTATCTCCTGCTACATCTGCCTATTCCCCCCCTCGCATCTCGCTCCCCCACCCTCCCTATCGCAACACGGCCAAGTTGCGAAAGCAAGATCAGATCACTTCTATGAGATGTCATTTTTGAAATCTTGGCACACGAGTCTTCGAAAATTGCAGAAGCACGAAAGCCAAATGATCCACAAACAGGCTTCACTACGGAATGGCCAAAGTTGAGTTTTGTGGATGGTCGACGAGTTCGAGTGAGATGCCAATTTTGTGACTTTTCGAATGTCTTGACATTGTTAAGATTCAACTTCCCCGGTCTAGAGTGACTAATATTTGTGTCTATCCGCTCAACAAACAATGGAGGTTAGATATGAAGAGCAAATGGAGTCTCTAGGCGGACAGTGGCCTCAGAGTCGAGTTGTTCTAACGAGTGCAGAGAGGTGCAAAAAGACATCTTCCTTCAGTTTTTAGTGAGACTGCCGATTGGATTCCTCTACCTCACACCCGATATGATGGTATTG